ATGGCCGCCTCCATATCAGAGGACAACAAATATCTCTTGGAACCACTCTCCCTCAAACTGAGTACCCTGAGCTATGAAAGTGTATAGGAGAATAGACTACAAAATACAAATGTGGTTCATGTCATAGCTTCTTCACAACCATGCAGCCTGTGCTGTATCATTTACACACGATGGACAGAAAAATGTGACTTTATAACAGCATCAAAATATATAACTTTTCGACCCAAGAATGGCACGGTACAGTACGGACAAGAGATATAATTTTTTAGTTGTCAATAAATTTATGATACGTTTTTACGAAGATTATGAAATTTTTCCTAGACTGTAAGTCTGTTTCATTTTCTTACAACTTGTTAAAAGTTTGACAAATAGAGAAAATTCGGTCGAACAAAGTTGTGTCGTGAAAAATGAGATAATTTAAAGCACAATGTTAATATAGCTGGCCAATTTAAATGATGAAGAAACATTAGTAATTCAATATGAGAATAAAATGCTGTCAATATTGATGCAGTGTTTTTTAAATTACGAACATAATTTAATTATAATCTCCCGTCTAGACAGTTCATAACAGAGTTTTATTATCCTGAAGAATCTAAGTTATCAATTACATAGAGTAGAAAATAGTGATTTTAACCTCTTATGTTTCCCTACTCGGCTCTGATCCCATACTTTCAAAATCAAAACAAAAGCATGTTATTAATTAAATCAGGGGCTTGTTCAACAATTGCATCTGCATGCAAAAGTTGTATTATGGGAGTAATGAGTGTTTTCTGGCGATCGTTTGTGACAATAATTTTAACATTTTTAGTCTTCATGAAAATTCATGAACATTCATTACCTTGAACTACTAAGTTTTTTTCTTTAAACTCAAAAATTACCAATATTCATATTTGTTCATCATTTGTTCATGAACTATGAATTATGAATGTTTTCATGAATTTTATTCATGAACTACTTTTATGAACCTGTTAAGAATCCTTTAAGAACCATTCATGAACAATTATGAACAACTCATAAAGGTTCTTAAAATCATGAATATCATTTCGCAGGGGTGGTACAACTTTTCCACCAGCTAAATCGTTGCCTAGCAACAAAGAAATGCCTGGAACGGGAAGAGTAGGTCGAACACCTACGATAACAGGTCCAGTAACTAAATCTGACTTCAAACTAATTCTATGCAGGGGAACATCAATGACGTCTAGCTCCACACCCTGTAATAAAACTGACCCACCAGTAGAAGTCTGCTCAGACAAAGGAAGCACGCCCTCTAACAATAACGCAGCACCAGTATCTCTCAAAATCTGGACAGGTTTTATTTCGCTAGAGTCACCGAGTGAAACAAATCCCTGAGACATAAAGGGCTTATAATCCTCCATAGAATCAATAGAACTGGACTGTGAACCCTGGACATCAGGAGTGTCAGAACAAATCGAAACTAAGGCTTCTCTATCACCTCTAACTGCCGCACAAGCATGTGGTTGAGTTTTGTCAAAATCATTTTTTCTCTTCAGTTTAAAGCAGTCACTGATCAGATGACCCTTTTTCTTACAGTAACTACAAGTTGTAAGCGACCCTATTCCAGACGATCCTTCAACACGTCCTGGACCGGACTTAAAACCACCTTGGGATGGAGACTGGGAACTTTTGAAAGACTGAGACTCTGAACCACTCTTTTTATATGTGTCTGAATTGGTAGAATTACTGCTAGTCTGAGATCTTGATACAAAATTCTTTTTATGAGATAGAGCATAAGTATCAGATATGACTGCTGCCTCTTCAAGAGTTTTCACATTCTTATCTTCTAAATGTGTTTTCAAATCTTGAGAAACACATTCCTTAAACTCTTCTACCAGGATGACTTGGCGCAAATTAGCAAAGGTTTTATCAAGTTTCTTAGATCTAAACCAGTGATCGAATAAATCTTCTTTCTCTCGTGAAAATTCAACAAATGTTTGATTATCAAACTTCCTATACTTTCTGAATTTTTGTCTATATGCTTCAGGTACTAATTCATATGCTTTTAATATTGCTGCTTTGACCTTCTCATAGTCTGAACTCTCAGCTACCCCTAGTGCAGAGTATACCTCAGCTGCTTTGCCAACCAGTACACTTTGTAACATTGTTGACCAAACGTGTTGTGGCCATTTAAGATTTTCTGCGACTTTCTCGAATTGGGGAAAATATTTGTCTACAGATTTTTCTTGAAATTTTGGAACTAATCTGATATTTTTTGCTGCGTCAAATTCATTCTTGACAAATGACGGTTCTGGTTGGTTTTGTAATTTTAATTTCTCTAATTCAAAGTTCATTTCACGCTCTCTTTCTCGCTCTTCTCTTTCTGCTGCTAATTTGTCTAATTCAAATTTTCGTTCACGCTCTCGTTCTTCTCTTTCTCTATCTCTTTCTCGCTCTTCTCTTTCAAATCGCATTTTCTCTAACTCTAATTGAAACTGATAGTCTGTCATTTTGTAAGAGCCTAACTCTGATCTATCTGTATATTCTGGAAGATCGTATTTTTCAAAGATGTTTTCTTCTACTAGTTTGTTTGCAACCTTAATTCTAATGTCTTGCTTTCTCTGAGAGGATTTAACATCTAACCCAAAATGCAAACCTAATGCGATCAAGTCATCCTTTTTTAACGTATCAAAAACCTGAACACTTGGCGAACTAAGAAAGTTTGTGACCGAAAATACCATGTTGATTTTTGCTGGCTTATAGTCAAATTTAACAATTTAATTAACAAAATTCTGACAATGAACTGCAAAAGTGCAAGAAATTCTTGATCCCGGACGAGCCCCCAATTCTGTTATGGGTCAGAATAACCCTACATGCCAGCAAAGATCAATCACACAGTTTAAACTTAACAATAATTTATTTACAGTAATATACAAATCATTAAGTACAAACTTAGCAAAAATCTAAAAATACATACATCAGAGTGTCCGTTGCTGCACACAATGTCCCAGTGAAATTATATCCCAGTAATACCTCAATGATGCTTATACGACAATGTATCCACAATTATTTATGCATCGAATTGACAGGGTATTTATACAGTATCATAAATCTAGAATATTCTAGAAATTGTAAATACATGATATTCCTGGAAAGTTCTGGACATGAATAAAGTTCAAGAATGTTCTAGAAAAAATGACCAAACATAATGACCACTCTGGAATGTTCAAGAAACTTAATGTTACTAATAATATACAAGATGAAACAATACAAATACAACACATCTCACAACAACATGAAAAGCAGACACTGTTATTTGCTGAATACCCCCCCCCCCCCCCATATGACTTTCATTATCGTACGTCACCTTACAAAGTCAAAATAAACTAAATTGTTGAAAGCAAGATATTCACATGATGTTTTGACCATTTTTTTTGCACCCCTCAATTTACTAAGATCCTGACAGCAAAGGGTAAAAAACCTTATCAGACAAAAATAGTCCATTTGATCAAACGTGGTTGGGGGTTGAATACAAGGATTTTAAATAATTTTTAGATCAAATTCTCATAGAAATTACTCTACCGTTTTATAAAAATCAAGTCTTCTTGGTGTATATTCTGAAATTCAATTTTTTCTCTCGAAATAAATATTTTATTTTTATTTTTTTTCCATGAAAATGATGCAGTTAATTTATTTTCATCAATATACACTTGCATTAATACTTCAACAAGGTTTCCGAAAAACTTGCATGACTGTACATGTCATCGTCTTACTGTATCAGTCTGTAACACACGACCACCCTATTGTTTATTTTTCACACCATTTTTTGACAACACAATTTTAGCAAATTTTAGAGTTATCGCCCTTTGCTTTTCCATTGCTACTGCTTTCCAAGAAGCTTAGGAAGTAACTTCTCAGGAAACTTTAAAGCTCCAAAACAGTGGCGGTACAGAAACACTTGTCAACTAAAAGTTAATCCTTTCAAACTAGTCGCCCGTGTAGTGCAATGATCAGATTGTCCTGTAGATTCGTGAAGTAAGGAGCTGATCCTATGTCACGGGTTCAAATCCACTGCAGGACGTGGAGTAAAGGTATAAATTTGCTGCCCTTCACTGGCAAGTGGTTGCATCTCTTTATGAAGCACAGGCCAGAGTGGAGGAATACAAGTAATTCTACATACTTTAGCATTTAGAATATTTTATAGATATAATCCCAGGGTTTTAAACTAATTTGTAATCCTTGATCGCCATGTGGGCTACTAAACCTTGCAATTCTGGGGCCCACATCAAAATTTATTCGCCCCAAATTATCACGTCTTCTATTGAATAAAAATACAACCCCATTTTTCGTTATTTCTTTGTTTATCATATGCTTCGTGTTTCTTTTCTGACCGTAGAAACATTATCCACGACTTAATTTAATTTGAAGTTGAAATCTTTTGTTTAAAAAGATTGATATGGTTATTAAACATCATATATTCAAGCACATGTCAGGTTTTTCACAGATACAACAAAGATACTTTTTGGTTTGTTGGGCTCATTGACGTGTCGATGCCACATTGTGTCCGACACTATCACTTAGACACTTTATGTATAAGTACTTCTCACTGGTAAATATAAAGCACTTTTACTGATTACGAAAGTTTTCAAGAGAAAAAAACGGAACATTCAGACAAAATTAAAAAACAAATATTTATTAACATAAATTTTCTAATCGCCATGTGGGCTACTTGAACATAATTTTAAGTCACCCACAAGGAATATTGGTCGCAAATTGCGAGTGGGCGACTGTTAATTTCAAACCCTGTAATCCATCTTGTTAAAATCAAAATATCTTAGATTTGTGCCATAAATATTCTTCTTCTGCAGAGTGCATACAGCCTGATGCTGCAATACACTCTGCAAAAAAAAAAAGAGTATTAAAGTTATAGTTTTAAGTAGATAGTAAATATAATTTACAGATAAAAGTTGGGGGTGACCATGCATTTAACTTAAATTTTCATAAAGGTTGATGTATTTAAGTATTGCAGATACAATAATTTTAATCTATAGAAAGTTAATCATCACTTTTCTGTTGTTTCAGTTTCTTTAACACAAACAAAGAAGAAAGGCCTTGAGTTTAAACAGAAGATAATAGAGGATGTAAGTAATCTATAAGTAATACATCTTTTGAGAATGTGTGGGTCTATTCCAATTAAAAACAAGATGTGTTTGTAAAACACTGATGCCCCTGTATGGCAGCTAATGGCAAGGGTTGAAGTTTCTCAGATGTAAGTCAAAGTCCAAAGTCAAAAGGTCAAAATTGTTGACATCCAAAGGAAGGTCTTGTCACAAGGTATATGTCTGTGAATTTAATGAAATCAGTGTACTAACAATTCAAAAGTTATGTACATTAGGTTCAAGTTTTTAAAAAGTGGGTCAAACTGTAAAGATAAAGAGGTCGGATATTTTAAAACTCATTAAAAGGTCTTTCCAGAGTTCTTGAAATCTTTCGGTCCTGTCGGCAAAACCGATGAAAACAACCAAGGACCGTTAACTTTGCGTTTTCCGTCAGTCCAAATGACCGATAAGTGTTGACAGAGGAATTTCGATAATTCGACCAAATTTTGTACGAATTCCCTATAAACGACCGATTGTAATCTTTCAAACGCTTTTCTGTATCCCTTAATGGTTTCTTCGATGAACGCAAGTGCGAAACTATGATTGGTAAGCTAGTTTGTTGATGGCGCTAAGGTAAGCCAGACAAGAAAATCGAACTAGATGAAAAACTTATGACGAAAATTTAAATTTTAAGAAAGATGTTATACAAAGATCAAATCAGCATGAAGTGTGCAGTGTTTATTGATGCTCGGTACACAATTTATTGATAAATAATAATAAAATTCAAATTCAGTTTTCATGTTTTTATTGAATTTTTTTTGGGGCGGGGGTGGACTGACAGAAATCTGTCTGGACTGACAAACTTCACATGGCAGTCAGTCCATTGGGCAAATGGCTGACAGTGAAAAAAAGAACTCTTGTCTTGTCACAGTGAAAACACATGTGAAGTATGAAAGCCCTAGCTCCAACAATTCAAAAGCTATGATTAAAATAAAAGTTAAAAAATTTTGAGTAAAAGTGGGTCACATTTTAAGGTCAAGAGGTCAAATTTGGTGGTACCTGAAGAAAGGTCTTGTCACAAGGAATACACCCGTGAAATATGAAAGCCATGGCTCCACCCACTCAAAAGTTATGTCCAAGGTTGAAGTTTTTATGGACAGTCAGACAAACAGATTTTACAGACAGACAGGCAGATGGCAAAAACTATATCTTTGATTACAGGGGCATAAAAAGACACTTTAAGAGAAAATGTATCACACTAATGATTTTCTCCTTTACAGTTCTGCTATATTTGATATTTGGAGCTCTTGAGTTTACTGATATGTTTTATGTAAATTGTTTGGTTTATTTCATAGGATTTATATGTAAATATTTAATGTGTATTCTTGTTTTAGTACAGAATTATCTCATTGTCTTTATATTGTAGATCCAGACCTGCTGTGATAAATATAAGAACATATTCCTCTTCTCCGTCACTGTCTATATATATTGTAGATCCAGACATGCTGTGATAAATATAAGAACATATTCCTCTTCTCGGTACACAACATGAGGAACACACACCTGAAGGACGTTCGCCAGAGCTGGATAGGAAGCCGGTTAGTCCTAATTATGTTGTCTCTAAAGTAATAAATTGACTTCTCTTTGTTAGCATCTCAAGAATGGAAATGCTCACATTAAAGATGTAACAGGTTTGACCATGGATATTGGCCTGTGTATCTCAATAGGTAGAGAACCTGACTAGTGATGCAGGGTCCCGGATTCAATCCAGGTCAATCCCAATTAAGCCATACATTTTTAGGTCACCTGAGTAAACTCAGGTGACCTATTGCTATCCGTTTTCGTCCGTCGTCGTGTGTCGTGTGGCGTGTGTCGTGTGTCGTGCGTTAACATTTGAACATTTTCATCTTCTTCTCTGAAACCACTGAACCAATTTCAACCAAATTTGGCACAAACTATCTATGGGTAAAGGGGAACAAAAATTGTGAATTTCATGATCCCTGCCCCCCTGGGGCCTGAGGGGTGGGGCCAAAACCACTAAAATTAATGCAATCTTTAAAAATCTTCTTCTTTACTCCTGGACAACAAGCAGGCAAACTGTTTGCATGATTGTAATCAGCAATGAGTCCTCTACCAAAATTGTGAAATTCATGGCCCTAGGGTCAGAGGTTATAGTGCTAGGGCGGGGCTAAATAAGTAGGTAGTGAAAATGCATTATTTATTTCTTTGAAAATCTTCTTCTCTGCTCCTGGGTATAAAATAAACAAACTAAGTACATAGTTATGATGAGCAAGAGTGCCTCTACCAAAATTGTGAATTTTATGGCCCCAGGGTCAGGGGTTCTGGTGTAAGGGCGGGGCTCTATTGATTATATAGTGAAAATACATGAATTCTTTGAAAATCTTCTTCTCTGCTCCTGGGTATTAAATAAACAAATTAAGTACATAGTTATGATAAGCAAGTTTGCCTCTACCAAAGTTGTGAATTTTATGGCCCCAGGGTCAGGGGTTCTTGTTTAAAGGGGGGGGGGGTGCGGCTCTAATGATTATATAGGGAAAAGCATGAATTCTTTGAACATCTTATCCTTTGCCCCTGGTTAATATGCTAATGATCTAATTACATATTTAAGGCCAGGATTTATTTTTTTTAGTTTTTTAAACCCTCTGCTCAAGGTTTTGAATGTTCAGAAAAAAATAAAACATTTTTTTCTTTCCGATGTCAAATTTGAGTCGGGATCGAGATTTCAAATTTACGAACTCGCACTTCCGGTTTTAGGATCTGAGAAGAGTGTAAAATTCATCGATAAGAGTGCCATTCAAAACGTTTCACCCGTTCAAAAGACAAATAAAATGCTGACGACTTTGTTGCACAATGACATGATGGTGAGATAATTATGTATTCGTTTCAAAAGTAACTGTAAATTATTTTCCTCCCCCAGCCCCAGGTTTTTAACTGCCCGTGATAGCTATTGCATATTGCCAGGGACATTGTTTAGGTATCTATTATAGCTTACAGTCTGAGCATCATTCCTCAGAAAAGGGTTGCTTATGCATCAGGTTAATGAATAAAACTATGGGAGAAGTGAATTCAAATTTGAGGAAGAAATAAACAATAACCTGAAGAAATAAAAAAAATTCAAATATTGAAAGGCAAGAATATACAAATATATACAGGCATGTAGTATCATTTGTATCAACCAGAAAAATTATTTTACACTTAATTGAAAAAAAATGTTGACCCTACTCCCCAATACTCCCTGTCTGTTTTATGATAGGAATTATAATTTTAGGCATCAAGTAAATTTTAGAACAATGTCTACACATTCATATAACACATATTAAGGAAATGAAGATATTTTGAAATATATTTTGATCAACATCACAAAATTTATGTAATTGGCCCAAACTGGCGGATGATGAAATAAGCAATTAAATGTTCTACTTTCCTGTTTGTAAGCATTATGTGTCCAGTGGTAAGGAGCCTATTAGGATAGCATAAAAAAAGAATGTACCAATGTTAATAATTGATTTATCAAAAAAAAAATTATTTCCTTCTCCTTCGGGACTTTTTTATTCTCATGTTCATAACTAAATCTAAACATAAAAAAAATGCTGGCCTTATAATGAAGAAAGGGGCCTCTTTCAAAATAGATAATTTCTCAGGGCTGCGGGGTCAGGGGTACCAGGGGGGTACTTTGACTAAAAATGAATTAATGCTTTGAAATCTGCCCTTTGATAAGCAATGGTGCCTCTTTCAAAATTTGTGAATTTCATGGCTTTTGGATTAAAACACGAACCAAATATAATCACTGGAAAGTTGATACATGATACTCAGGTGACCTATAAGGCCCGAGGGCCTCTTGTCTCTTTTCCTGTTACATGATGATTTATTGCCATCAAACACCCTAGAATTTGCAAATTAAAGTCCTGCCAAGGGCAAAGAACAACTTGTTTGTTTTTGTGGGAAAAGTTTTAGGAGGGAGGAATGTAATGGTTTGGGTTGTGAATAGTCCAGTGGTAGAGCACCTGTCTAGACTAGAAATGTGGGAGTCCTTGGTTCAATTCCCAATCAAACTATCCATTTTCTCCTTTCCTGATACAGAGACATTTTCAAAGCTAAATGGGAAGTGTGCTTATGTGTTGATATTTATATTTGACACTTGAGTCTTAATCTCTATTGCAACATGTTAAAGATGCTGTAAATGTATTTTATTTAGCATGTTAGATATTTAGTGTAAATTGATTTTTTAACAGGTAATTCTCTTCAAAGTATTGATTGGATTTACTTTAAGTGTAAATTACAGTACAGACACATGGATATTTATTTCTACAGATTTTACTTTGGGAAGAACAAAGTTATGTCATTGGCATTAGGGAGGACCAAGGAAGATGAATATAAAGACAACCTACACAAACTGAGTTCTCAGTTACGCGGACAGACAGGACTGCTGTTCACCAATAAATCAAAGAAAGAGGTCCTCAGGTATTACTTGTACACTAGGTATATTGAGTCATGAGAGGTTGGGGGGGGGTAACTTAATCTAATTTTCTCCGAGATATCTGGCTAGCATGGTTAAAGTGAACACTTTTTGTTGATGCATAAAATCATCAATTTCATTCCGTCGTGATTCATCCCCTTCATCTCCAGGGTTAAGAATCTAGGGCAGGCTTAATTACATTGTAAGTCATAGTATGAATGTACTTTATACTTTTTGAAAATCATATTATGGACATTTAGAGGGCAAAACATTTACAAGGTCATAATGAGAAGTTAACCCTTTTCCAAATATTTTTAAATTCATCTCCCCTTCTTTACATATAGGCATAGCAGAAAAATAGTTTGCATGATATAATAAAAATTGAGAGTTGTGTACCCCTGGTTTGGGCCAAAGGGATCATAGTTTGTAAATGAACTTTAATTTAATCTCACTTATATATATGCAAAGTAATTATGGACAGGACTCCTCTACCAATAATAAAATTCAAAAGATCAAATGCTAAGGTCAGACATTTTATATTGCATAGAGTTCTCTGTAAATTTAATGGAATGAAATCTGAAGTCATGAATTAAGACCTCTGTTGACTAAGCTATAAGGTTAAACATATGCCATTTCTTAATTCAGTTCACATCTCACTGATCTTGGTAAAGACTTCAGTATTGATAACAGTGTTATGAATTTTTACATCAGAAATTGACTTTGATTTTACAGATTCTTTGATGAGTACAGAGTGCCAGATTATGCCAGATCAGGCAATCCGTGTCAACAAACCGTGATGTTAGATGAGGGACCTATCCCAGAATTCTCTCATTCCATGGAACCCCAACTCCGACAGCTCGGACTACCCACTTGTCTACAGAAAGGTCAGACCAAATCTTATACAGTAAAACTCAGTTATCTAGCAGAAAGGTCAGACCAAATCTTATACAGTAAAACTCAGTTATCTATATCTTATACAGTAAAACTCAGTTATCTATCAGAAAGATCAGATCAAATCTTATACAGTAAAACTCAGTTATCTATATCTTATACAGTAAAACTCAGTTATCTATCAGAAAGGTCAGATCAAATCTTATACAGTAAAACTCAGTTATCTATATCTTAAAAAGACTTTCAAGTCTTAACATTTCCAAAAAGGAAGTTGTTTTCATTTTCGCAGGTTTATATATAGTTCAAACTAAAACAGGTCCTATATTATGCGAAAGTATACTTAATTATGACTGGTTTAATC